GAGCGGGGAGCCCGATGTGGGGCTCGATCCCAGGACCCTGGGATCATGACCTGAGCCGAAGGCAGACGCTTAACGACCGAGCCACCCAGGCGCCCCTGATTATGAAGTATTTCCTTTGGAAACGTGTGTACAGAAAAGTGTTTCTGCTATTTTAGATGATGAAGATGATCCTGCAGAGGCTGAAAAGGAAGGAAATGAAATGGAGGGTGAGGAGTTAGATCCATTAGATGCTTACATGGAAGAAGTAAAAGAGGAAGTAAAGAAGTTTAATATGAGAAGTGTGAAAGGTGGTGGGGGAAATGAAAAGGTATGCCATTTTCTCTTATTTTTAAGGGTTTATCCAGTATTCCTAATTGGGTAACTTAAATTACTGTCGCATTGACCTACTGCTGACTTGCCTGACTTTAGAAAGTTATTTCTTCCCCCATCTCAAAAATGCTAGTACTTTTTCTCAGTACTGTAGTTGCTTGGGAGTTTTAGCTGTAAGCCTTTGAGAAATCACTCTTATCACCACCATCTTTGTTTGATATCTTTGCTTATTGTTGACTTCTCAATAGGTCCTCTCCAGACTTCTTCCCCACTTTTATCTTTCATGCTTGAGCCCCTTTCCCATAGTGTATGTTTCTTTTTTTTAATAATACTTGTTAGCTTTTGACAGAATAGTTTAGCTTTTTACTGTCTTTATTGTTTTTCCCTTTTTGTAAAATAAAAGCTCCCTAAGAGCCGTGACCTTTATCTGCTTTGTTTATTGATTTATTATAAGTTCCCTGAACAGTGTCTGGCTTGTCCAGTGAGTGAAAAGTACCATTTAGTAGTATATATATATATATTTTTAAAGATTTTATTTATTTGAGAGAGAGAGAGAGCATGAAGGGGGGAGGGTCAGAGGGAGAAAAAGACTCCCCGCCGAGCAGGGAGCCTGATGTGGGACTCGATCCCGGGACTCCAGGATCATGACCTGAGCCGCAGGCAGTCGCTTAACCAACTGAGCCACCCAGGCGCCCCATTTAGTAGTATTTTTAAAGTGAACTATATTAAAATATTAGATGTTATATAACTTTACATATTATATAAAATGATATTAAACTACACAGTATTATATAAAATATACAGTAAACTATATTATATAATGCAGTTACGTTACATTTTTAAAATTTAAACAAATTCATAAGGAGAATTGTTTTTTGTCAGTTAAGTTTTCAGTAGTAACTAAGTTAATTTTAATTATAAATTGTGACAGTTATTACTGTGTTTCATTTGCATACAATTTGTTTTTCATTTTTACAAATACTTTATATATCCCTCTTTTATTTTAGAAGTCTGGGCCAACGGTCACAAAAGTTGTCACTGTTGTGACAACCAAAAAAGCAGTGGTAGATTCTGATAAGAAGAAAGGTGAGCTGATGGAGAATGATCAGGATGCCATGGAGGTAATTCTTCATTAATTTTGACTTTGTTCATGATAGTATTCTAGAAGTATTTATTAGAAAGCGTTGGTAGAGTTGTGCTTTTCAATTATAGAAACTAATGTTACAAGGAATTCTTGTTATTCTCAATAGTATTGTTGCTGCCTAGCCAGTGGATAGAACATTCTGGAATCTTTGACCTTTTTCTGTATGCCCACATTTTGCTTCCCCTCTGCCCCTCATCAATTCACCTCAGACATATAAGGTGGGAGAAGAAAAAAAGTGACAGAATGAATTGAATTTCTTGGTATCTTTTTTTTTTTTT